GGAAGGAAGGAAGGAAGGAAAGAAGAAAGGAAGGAAGGAAGGAGGGAAGGAAGGAAGGAGGGAAGGAAGGAGGGAGGGAAGGAAGGAAGGAGGGAAGGAAGGAGGGAAGGAAGGAAGGAGGGAAAGAAGGAAGGAGGGAGGGAAGGAAGGAAGGAAGGAAGGAAAGGGCACAGAAAGAAGAGCTCTTATTACACTGCCCACCTACTTAGTGCTCACAGACATCTTCCGTATGGAGACAAAGTCCTGCCAAAGAAGAAGGAGGAAAACAAATGGGCAAGGAGCAGGCAGACCATGAAGACGGTCAGGCTGGGGGGGGGTGGGTGAGGCCGGGCCCAGGCCTCCCTCCTGGAAGGCCAGCGGTGCCAGAACCATTCATCTTTTCTCATCTCCCCTCTCCCCCCGCAGCTCCCATGATCCTTCACTTCACTGTGACTCTGGGTCTTAGCGTGGCTGCCATTGCTCCGTGGACCTCATCACCCAGGTGCCAGCTGCTCTTTGCTCTTGCTTCTTCCTCCCCCCTTCCCTCCCCGAAGCTGGGCATTGCCCTGCCCAGACCACAACCTCTCTGGGTAGACTAGCTCTTGTCAGAAAGGGGGGACACACGAGGAAGGATCCCGGACCATTCCCTTCTGTTGGGGTAGTGTGAGAACCAACACCTTGTACTGCTGCGTCCTTCCCCCCTCCACTACACACACCAGAGGAGCTGTGGAGCCGTGCTTGAAGAAGTGCATTGCTAGGCAATAATGAAATGATGTTGTGCAAACAGCTGTTTGTTGTTGTCAATCATGGGGCTTGAACTCAGGGCCTGGGTGCTATCCCTGAGGTTTTCTTTGCTCAAGGCTAGAATGGTACCTCTCTGAGCCACAGTATCACTTGGAAATACTACTGTCAAGGACTTGCCCTGCCCAGGCTGGCTTTGAACCACGATCCTCTAGATCTCAGCCTCCTGAGGAGCTAGGATGACAGTTGTAAGCCACCAGCACATGGCTACAAAGCTGACTTTAGTTGTTGTTTTGGTCAGTTGTGGGACTTGAACTCAGGTCCTGGGCGCTGTCTCTGAGCTCTTGTGCTCAAGGTGAGCGCTCTACCATTTGACTCACAGCTCCACTTCTGGTTTTCTGATGGTTCATTAGAGATCAGAGGGTCATAGACTTTCTGGTCTGGGCTGACTTCAAACCATAATCCTCTAATCTCAGCCTCCTGAGCAAAGCTGAGTTTTAAAGGATATATGTAATAGGGAGACTGAGAGGGCGAACAGATTAACAAGTGAAAGCAATGTAGGAAGCAATGTCATAAACTGCTGCCATGGCTTTTCTCTTCAATGAATCTATAAAAGAGAGAGCTTGCAAACAGACACAAATATGGTGGTTGGCCTTCTTTACCAGCTGGTGTTTTTCGCCCCCAAGAGAAGCAGTGAGAAAATGAGTGTTTTAAATTCCTTTTTCTAAATATAACCCCTCCCATCCAAGCACACAGCAGCTCTCACACACAGCCCTTCAGCTAGCAGCTCCGCCGTGTAGAACAGCGACACACTTTTTCGCCCATTACTGGGGAAGAGGTTCCAGAAACTGATTCCTAGTGTTTGCATTTTGGGCATTTGTCAAAAAGGAATATAGATCTGGGCTGGGAAGGTGGCTCAGTGGTAGAGCGCTTGCCAAGCATGCATGAAGCCCTGGGTTCGATTCCTCAGCACCACAGACACAGAACAAGCTGGAAGTGGTGCTGTGGCTCAAGTGGTAGAGTGTTAGCCTTGTGGTAGAGTGTGCCCAGGCCCTGACTAGGAAAGAAAGAGAAAGAAAGAAAGAAAGAAAGAAAGAAAGAAAGAAAGAAAGAAAGAAAGAAAGAAAGAAAGAATCTTTAGTCCAATAAGACCCCAACTGGCTGTGCAGGGAGAATTTATGAGATCAAGTTTGTAGGGGAAAAAAGAAAACAAATCTTATGCCAACTGTCAGGTCTCAGCTTATCATCAGAGAGGCAACCGGGGATTACATTATCCAGGAAATGAAAAATGCTCAGAGGAGAAAAACAGCATCAAATGGGTGACTCACACATTATTGAGTTAGGCACCCGTGGCTCATACCTGTCATCCTAGCTACCGGGGAGGCT